ATTAAAAATAAAAACCAAACGAATATTTTGTATAATTGGTAACTACGTGAAAAATATTTCAATTTCATTGTCAACGAACAAATCTAATTGGAAACTTAAGACTGAACTTAGGAGTTAGGTTTGAACTTGGGAGCGAATTTCCCAACTGAGTTCCGAAGTTCGCTCGCTAGCTTGTTAGCTAGAAACTTGAGATTAAATTAGCTTAACAACCAGAAATAACGGGACTTCGATTGAAGTTTGACTCAGATGACTGTATTCAAAGTGCATGAGTTGCGATTGTTAGATATTGTAGTCGTCTACTGTTATTCTGTCATCGACCAGCTCCTTACCAAAAGGAAACCGGTGAATTATCAGTTCTTCCTGAAAAAGCCCTTCGCTATAAATGTATAAAATTGTTGCCATGCACGGTGGTCTTTCCCTCCTAACCGAAGATTGGTCCTTCCATGTTGATTTTAACCTCGATTATTACAAAATAAAGCATAAAAACATATATATTTTTATACTATAGTTTTATATAGTTTTTTTGAATATACTCCTAGACTGATCAAATGAATAACTTAATAACAACAAATGAAGTAAACCGTTTAGCGGAGAAATGGTCGCCCACCAGCAATCAACACAATCGAAATTACTTCAGTTGCGCCTCTTAAAGGATCCAAAACAAGGATTTGAAGTGGAAACTATAAAGATACCGTGGGCTGGAAGTTGTCTTCTTCAAAGCGGGTTCTAGAATGAGATCAGTACAGTTTGTTAGGAAACCTTCCCTTTCCCCTCCCCCTCTGTTCCCTTCCGCCTGGCAGGTTATCGGATACTAAWTTGTTTTCTCCGGGATTGAGAAAAAGCAGTTTTGCCAATTTTTTCCCTCTGGGTGACGCTAACAAATTTGCATGTTCGCTGTCAACTGCTGACTGCCTGGTTGCTATCTTTTTTATTTACTCGTTTTCCATACCAAAATATCAACAGGCTTTGATAACATGTGGTAATTTCTATGTTATTTATAATGTACTAATGACATCCTGAATCCTTATTTTTAATGTAGATAAAAAATGTTTCATATCGTGTATGTTGTGTTATTGTTTACTAATTTTTTCCTCTGTCTTTTTTAAGTCAAGTATATAATATCAAAAATGATAAAGAGATATCCAAACTGTAACCTATGTGCACGGGAATACAATAGCGCACATTTCCGGTCAGTTTAATGCATGCTTTGCATCAAGAACTGTCAAATGACGGAGTAATCAGATGAGAAGTCTTTACAAAATATTCGTTTGGTTTTTTATTTTTAATTCTTTTTTTAGGATAATGGAAATATAAACTTAATGTAGATTTAGGCACTGCCTAAGAGCGGAGCTCCAAAGAAATAGTATATATAGTGTTGAACACGTGTCACGCGTGGCGTTACAAAATCGGTCGTGTTTGTCAGAGCCTAAATATAAAACCGGAAATGATCTTTGGGTCTCAAATGCAACTTTGCCGCGAATGGTTTTCAATTATATTTTCAATAGTTAGAAATTCTCCTCCATATTAGACATTGTAATTCGGTCTACCCTG